CTAGTCAGCACTGTACCACAGCTGATGGCCTTGTTAGACAGCAGCTCTGTCCCATGCAAAGCTCGCCTTTCACCAACCCAAACCGGTCACAGTTCATCAGGTTCCCGTTCACCTAATACCGTACCACCAGCACTTTGCCTCACCTGATTCTGGTCGCCCTGTTCGACAGCATCTCTGTGCCGTGCGTCGCACAATTCACGAACCCAAAGCGGCCGCACTTGACCAGGTTCCCATTCGCCTTGTCCATCACCAGCACTTGGATCAGAGGTCCCATCTCCATCCATCACCACCTCGAATCACCTAATGGCCAAATGCAACGGCATCACACACCTCGCAGTATCATAGCGCCACTGAGCGAGAAATTGTAGTAATTCCGTTTTGAGTCGATATTAACACAGCGCCACTGAGCGAGTGATTGTAGTAATTCCGTTTTGAGTCGATATTATCATAGCGCCACTGGGCCTCACCTGATGGCCCGATGCATCAGCACCGTACCTCACCTGATGGCCCGATGCATCAGCACCGTACCTCACCTGATGGCCCGATGCATCAGCACCGTACCTCACCTGATGGCCCGATGCATCAGCACCGTACCTCACCTGATGGCCCGATGCATCAGCACCGTACCTCACCTGATGGCCCGATGCATCAGCACCGTACCTCACCTGATGGCCCGATGCATCAGCACCGTACCTCACCTGATGGCCCGATGCATCAGCACCGTACCTCACCTGATGGCCCGATGCATCAGCACCGTACCTCACCTGATGGCCCGATGCATCAGCACCGTACCTCACCTGATGGCCCGATGCATCAGCACCGTACCTCACCTGATGGCCCGATGCATCAGCACCGTACCTCACCTGATGGCCCGATGCATCAGCACCGTACCTCACCTGATGGCCCGATGCATCAGCACCGTACCTCACCTGATGGCCCGATGCATCAGCACCGTACCTCACCTGATGGCCCGATGCATCAGCACCGTACCTCACCTGATGGCCTTGTTAGGCAGCATCTCAGTGCCGTGCATGGCTCGCTTCACAAACCCCAACCGGTCGCACCGCAATTGACCAGGTTCCCAGTCGCTTTGTCCATCACCAGACCTCGGATCAGCAGTCCTCACCGGTCCCGATATACAATGCCACGTACCAGCACTGTGTCTCGTCCGATGGCCGTACTAGATAGCACCTTTCATGGCGGCTCTATGTAACAGCGGCGCACACCTGATGGCCTTGTTCGACAGCATCACTGCTGTGCCTCACCTGATGGCCTTGCTCGACAGCATCACTGCTGTGCCTCACCTGATGGCCTTGTTCGACAGCATCACTGCTGTGCCTCACCTGATGGCCTTGTTCGACAGCATCTCTGTGCCGTGCATGGCGCGCTTCACGAACCCAAACCGGTCGCACTTGACCAGGTTCCCATTCGCCTTGTCCATCACCAGACCTCGGATCACGAGGTCCGGGTCGAACCTAAGCCCCTCGGTTGGGTAGCCCTTGCTTCGGAGATTCTCCATGGCGTAGTCGTAGGCTCGGCCCTCCCAAGCCTGGGTGGGAGAAGCAGGTTCGGAGGAGGGGAAAAGGGAATGGAAGAGGACGAACAGGAGACTTAGGGAAGGATTGAGTGGGAGAGTTGGTGAGGGAGGTGTGGCACATTCTTCTGGAGACACTACCTAGACCGTGCCTTCAATGGTCGACGGGGTACTCACAATAGTACATTCACGTTATTGTGTATCAGAGAGTAGAGTGTAGTCCACGTCCACCTCAAGGGCAATGGGGTGCTCACATTGACGTTATAATGAATTAGGGCATGGTCCATGTCATATTGGATAGGATATGGTACATAATACATAAATTGACACTATAGTGTAGCAGAGAGTAGTCCACGTAATCACTATAGGGATACTTACATTGACGTTATAGTGAATCAGGGTGTAGTCCATGTCGTATCCAATGGTTGTGATTGATCGCAGGTTCAGTGTGCGGCTGCAGAAGATGCCGCGCGATGCCAGCCCATGCGGGAATTGTGGCTGCAGGGGGTTAAGCACGAAAAGAAACAGACAGAGATCAGGGAAACAAAACGCGGACGGGGAATCCGATAGTGATTATTGCAGGATGAGAGTGCAACTGCAGAAGATGCCGCAGGATGCCAGCCCATGCAGGAATTGGGGCTGCAGGGGGAATGAGAATGGAGAGGGAAGGACAGAGGAGGGAGCATACAGAACAGCACTGGGAACCAGGGAGGAACACTGGGAAGCAGAGAGGAGCACTGGGAAGCAGAGAGGAACACTGGGAAGCAGAGAGGAGCACTGGGAAGCAGAGAGGAGCACTGGGAAGCAGAGAGGAACACTGGGAAGCAGAGAGGAACACTGGGAACCGACAACTAGGGTTTCGGGCTTCCACAAAATACACCCTCTGGACTTTTTCCTAGAGTTACAATCCCTCGCAGTCACACTCACTTACAGGCACACCCAGCTGCTCCAGCAGCAGCTCGGCCTCGTCTGCCTCTGCCTTTGCGAGCTCCTCAATAGGGCCTATGCCTGTGTCTATGTCCAGGTCAAAGGCCCGTCGCCCCTCGTTCTCTGATAGGTGGAGAAAGGGAAGCAGAGGAAGAAGGGGGTTCGGCTTCCTACACTGAGAATCCCCTGTGTGGTGTGGTGACAGGAGGATATGGTTACCACCAGCATCGACAGGCAGATCAGGAAGAACCATATCCCCCTTAGTGCACTCCCCGAGCTAGTCTTTTCCTGCTGTCCCTTGACAAACTACATGAAAAAACTCCTCCCCATAGACTGAAAGCAGAATTTGAACGTACCAAGGTCTACAGGCAGATCAGGAAGCACCATGTCCCCCTTAGTGCTCTCCCCGAGATAGTCTATCCTGCTGTCACTAGATGACCACACCACGCGAAACACCTCCTCCCCTCCACTATCACTATCACTTCCACTGCCGCTGTCGCTGCCAGCGCCTTCCCCTTCTGACCCGCTCCCTCCTCTTCCTCCTACAGTCACTTTCTTCCCCTTCACTGTTATCCCCTTCTTAGTCCCCTTCGATATTGTCACATTTGTGCTCGACTCTGTGGTAGCCGGAGTCCCAACAGCAGCAGCAGCAGCAGCAGCCGCGGAGTCACTCTTTTCTGATCCGATGCTGCCCTTTTCCATCCCTCCCGTTTCTTCCCCAGCCGCAAATTGCGCCTCATTCCCCGCCGCGTTTTCCGGCGTCTTTTCCAGAAGCTCGCCTTCCAGCAGCGCAGCGGCGGCTGCGACGCGAGCCTCGTCCACGCCAGCCTCCGGAAGCGCCTCTTCCGAAGCGCTCAGTGCCAGCTGGGCTGCCACGGTGGCGGAATCATCCGCCACGTCATCCGGCGCAGCAGTGGTACTTTCCCCGCCATCCGCGTTATTAGCAGCTGCAGCCCTAACCGCGCGGACTGCGGAGTTCGCGCGAACGGTGGGTACGAAACGAGGCGTTTTAGAAAGGCGAGGTAGAGTGGAGCTAAGAGTTCTGGGCGTGACGGAAGGTACTCTGGAGGGAAACGTGTGACGGAGTACGGCGGAGGTAGTTCGTTGGATGGAATCATGCTGCTGCTGCAGGAACAGAGAGGAGGATCTCCCAGGCTGCGATATCTGGGAGGAATTTCCACGACATTTCGCTAGACAGGACGCATGGGCATTAGCAATTCTAGTCAAAGAAGGAATGGTTAACGCGTTCCGACTTGGCGCGGTGATTGATTGATCCATTTTGCTCAAGCCGACCTGGCCGCACACGAGAGCTGAAATTGTTCTAGTATGAATGAACTGCTATAGACTGTTACGAGAAGGGCTACCGCCTCTCACCGCGACTCCTGCTCACTGAAATATCGAAGGACATGGTTAGGCTCTCTGGTGGTATTTTCTGGGTGATCATGTGACTGCGAGCAGGATGATACACCTGTTTTCCTATTTAGTTTTACGTTTTTGGTCCGCGGCTCAAACCTGTAAGCAGGAAATTGTAAAACACGGGCAAACGGGAACTTGAAGGGGAAATCCCACAGTAAACAATAACACTTGGTTATAAAATCTCGCTCATGCACTAGATTAGTTGCCCGCGCGACGTCCCAGCTCTGAAACTCGCAATTGTCGAAATACAACTTTGCTATTCGCTATCGTTCAGACTGCAGCCAATCAGGTTCAGTGTCAACGCAAGTCATGCTGAGAACCTGGTAGGTAAGATTACAATTTAGACTGTTCCGGGTAAGCCGATAAAAGGTGTACTGCAAGGTGCTGAAAATGCACTGCTCTTGAACAGACGATACCGACTTGTACCGCTTTGTGATGTCAGGAGCCTTGAGGACGTGAAGTCAGGGGAGCTCTCTGCTTTCTGTCTGGCTGGCACTCCCACCAGAATCAAGTGACGGTTTGACCGTTTTCTGGTCAGGCGAGGCGAAAGCGCTGATTCCCTGCCTCGAGATTCTCTCCCCGAGTTGATGGCGGGAAGTGTTGCGATTGGTGCTTCAGCATTCTATGTGCAAAAAAGGAATCTCCGTTTGGACATTCCATGATACTTCCTCACATATCGGAGCACAATAACTCTATAAGGTTGTTTCCTCAAATGTACAAGGGACTTACCAACACATTTGACATAGATGGGACAACCATGCTACTATGCATATGGCCGGTTCCACGGTTGCTAGTTTTGAGGGAAAAAAATGGTGCTTATGGGGCGTATTAAATACCTTTTCACCATTGTTTTTCAGTCTCGTCTAATTTGCCAGGTGCAAGCAAAGCTACTATACATGGAATCAAAGCTATATAATATCGCAAGTTCTTAATTTCTCGTGTCATATATATATATAAGAAACGAGTAACATTGAATTAATATAATGTCCATGTATCTATACTCGCTACACTGCAACGACCACAGATCTCCCAGTGAGGTTGCCTTGTTTCTGGAACCCACCTCCCCTCCCAACACCAGCTGAGCAGTATGGCGATCCCAAGGAATCTGTTCAGCGGGATCCAGCACATTCATCATCAGTGGAGTGGTGTACTGTAGTGTAGAAACCTGAGCATTCAGCAGTTATGGCTCAGACTTCAGGAGTATAGGAGACAGCAGCAGCTTTAGGAACGACTAAGGCGAAGCTTTACGGTTGGCCCGCGTGGTGTCCGTCCATCCAGCGTCAGCCGATGCATGTCCATAATAGCTCGCCAAGGGAGTGTAATGCGCGCTGCGACCTGGCTCTATGTGTGAAAGCAGCACGAAATTATCTGATATTAGTGTAATGACCTGTTAGAAGTCGAGTGTCCGCTTGTTGGTCACTCCCCGTCGACGGAACGACAATATTGAACGCCTTGCGAAGCCAAATCCAAGTTCATCCTTCGCGATTGCTGATCTTTTGCACTAGTGACTGGCACTTACTGAATTCAACCATTCTACTGATCCCACTTTCTCCTTTATACTTAGCTGGTAGAAACGTCCGTTAGCTGGCTTTCGCGTGATATCTCGCGTCCACTTAGCAGCTGCATCGTAAGCACGACCTTTCTGGTAGCAAAACGCATTGACCTTCGGGAGTCTGGTTGAGTGACAGCTGGCATCTGGTTGACAGCGTGGCATTTGCAAGTAGCTGGCAAGATGAGGGGAGGCAAGTTCCAGCAGAAGGTGGTGGAGGACGGCAGCGCGCGGAACTCGGAGGCGCTTTTCGAGACGCGCTCTATCGCGGATATCGTGGCAATCGAGGCGCGCACGAGGAAGGAGGTGGAGGAGAAGAAGGAGGAGCTGCGGCAGTTGGTCGGTGCGAGCTACCGCCATCTCATCGAATCCGCTGACTCGATTTTAGACATGCGACGGTAAGTTGAGTCGACTCAGAAGTCCCTTCGCGTTCAGATGTCACATGCGCGAGGAAGGAGGTGGAGGAGAAGGAGGTGGAGGCGGAGGAGGAGGAGCTGCGGCAGCTGGTCGGCGCGAGGTACCGCCATCTCATCGAATCCGCTGATTCCATTCTCGACATGGGACGGTGAGCGCGGTTATTGGACTCTTTCGTGACTCATTGTCAGGAAAAGGAGGAGCTGCCGCGGCAGCTGGTCGGCGCGAGCTACCGCCGTTTGATTGAATCCGCGGACTCGATTCTCGGCATGCGGAGGTACGTGGGGATCTTGGGATAAAGTCTTCTGTTCCTTGGTTTAAAAGTCCACCATGGAGGAAGGAGGATGCAGGAAGGAGGAAGGAGTTGGAGGAGAAGAAGGAGGAGCTTAGACAGTTCTTCAGCGCGAGCTACCGCCATCTCATCGAATCCGCAGACTCGATTCTCCACATGCGACGGTGAGTGGGGAGGTAAGCTGGAAGTTTTGGGTCAACAGGACTCGATCCTGGACTTGCGACGGTGAGTGCAGAAGTTGGGCATTTGCGTATTGTCAGATTTCACAGGTCGCGCGAGGCTGTGGTGCGAAACGTGGCATCCATGGTGTCGGATTTCTCTCATCTCCATTTCTCGCATCTCATCTCGCATGCTTTGGTGTGTGCATCTCATCCCGCACACGCATGTTCGTATCCCTCACATGCCACAGGTCATGCGAGGCTGTGGTGCGAAACGCGGCAGCCATGGAGTCGGATTTCTCTCACCTTCATCTCTCGTGTCTCATCTCTTGTGATTTGGCGTGTGCATGAGAATGCCCCACACGCGTATCTTCATGTCCCTCACATGCCACAGGTCATGCGAGGCTGTGGTGCGAAACGTGGCAGCCATGGAGTCGGATTTCTCTCTCCTGCACAAAACCATCTCCACCACAACCACCACCACTCCTGGTGCCGATGCCAAACGCAAGGTGAGCATCTGGGTGGTTACAAAGTAACAAGGTTGGCATCAGAGTTTGTTTCATAGCATTGCAATCTCACTCTCCTGCACAGACAAATCTCCACCACCGCCACCACCACCACCACCACCACCATCACCACCACCACCACCACCACCACCACCACCACCACCGCCACCACCACCACCACCACCACCACCACCACCGCCACCACCACGCCTGGCGCTGACGCCAAACGCAAGGTGAGCGCCTGGCTGGTTACCAAATAACAAGGGCCTGTTACAGGCTCTGGTTCTGGGAGTATCATGGCCTGGGTCTGTCTGGACGAGAGAATGTTCCTGGAAGTAGCAGCGCAGGGGCTCATGTGCGCATGGGACGAGCACCAGCTACTGTCCCTGCCGGTTGCCATACAATGTTACAAAGTTACCCCACTCCATCCCCCAATCCTACAATCTCAAGGAGGCCCTGTATGGGTTGGGCAGCTGGGTGAAGCATCTCGTACGCCAGAGAAGATCTGGAGAAGTGCCTGACCCTGAAGTGTTACCCTGTTGCCTGTATGAAACCCCTTCTTTCAACCCCACAGCGCCAGGAAGCCCTATATGCGCTGGGCAGCCGGGTCAAGTACCTGGTGGACACTCCAGAGAAGATCTGCGGCTATCTCTGAAATGTTACCCTGTTACCCCTTCTTTCAACCCCACAGCGCAAGGAAGCCCTGTATGCTCTGGGCAGCCGGGTCAAGTACCTGGTGGACACTCCAGAGAAGATATGGGGCTGTCTGGACGAGAGAATGTTCCTGGAAGCTGCCCAGCGGTTCATGCGCGCATGGGAGGTGCACCAGCTGCTGTCGCCCTCCACGAGTGCTGGAGGAGAAGGAGCAGCAGCAGGGGGCGGGTGGCAGGCGCAGCAGCAGGGGCTCATGGCGTCGTTCCCTCTGCTGAGGCACCAGTGGCCGCTTGTGGAGACGTTTCGCACCCAGGTGAGTGAATGAGTGGCAACAGCAGTTTTTGTCCTATGTGAGGCACAAGTAGACCTGCATGACATTGTTGTCCATCCTTCCCTCTGCTGAGGCACCAGTGGCCGCTTGTGGAGACGTTTCGCACCCAGGTGAGTGAGTGAGTGGCAGAGCTGCACCCAGGTGAGTGAGTGAGTGGCAGAGTTGCACCCAGATTAGTGAGTGGCATGGCAGGCGAATCTCGCACTTGCATTGTTAAAATGTTTCTTGCGCTTCTTGGCTTTAACAGAAACCATTCTCGTCGTCACCACCCCAAGTGTCACACACACACATCTGTGTATCCTGCGTCTTTGCTGCAAGGAAGAAGGTGATAAGCAGTGCAGGCTGGGCGGGGGGGTACTTCTAGCAGGGCCTCCTCCGAATTGCAAGGACATCTCGCTCAGAAACCATCTGTTCTTGTCTCGCTGTTTTTGAGAATTCTACAAATGACTTCAAATTCTTGACAGGAGCAGGGAGTGCCTGCACGATGCTTCTCGCATTCCAGCGGCAGGGGTGGGGGAGTACATAGCAGCTTTGGCAGCGGTGACCCTGACTTGCCCACCCACCCATTTCCCCTTCGTCCAAGATCGTTGACAGGAGCAGGGAGTGCCTGCACGACGCTTCTCGCATTCCCAGCAGCGGGGGTGGGTGGGAGAGTACGTAGCAACTATGGCAACCTAAATGGTGTCTGAAACACCACTTGTTCATGTCTCCTTGACCCCCCCTGTGAATCTCGCCCACAACCAGATCGTTGACAGGAGCAGGGAGTGCCTGCACGATGCATCGCGCATTCCAGCAGCGGGCGTCGAAGAGTACGCAGCGGCGCTGGCAGCACTGGCAGTGATGGAGCAGCTCTCTTCTCACGACCTGCTCAAGCTATTTTTGGATGCTCGTAGAGCGTGCTTGCGCTCCCAGGTATGTGCGTGTGTGGCGCTTCCGCTCGGCACGTGTGTGGCCCCGGCCCTTTCGCTCTGCACGTGTGTGGCCCCGGCCCTTTCGCTCTGCACGTGTGTGGAATGACAGTGAAAGAGGGAGAGAACTCGCAGCGCGCTGGCAGCGGTGGCAGTGATGGAGCAGCTCTGCCCGCATGACCCGCTCAAGCTCTTTCTGGACGCACGTAGAGCCTGCTTGCGCTCCCAGGTGTGTGTGCGTGTCCCCTCTCCCTGTATATGTGCGAGAGAAAGGAAAGGGGTGGGAGAGTGCGCATCAGTGCTGGCAGATATGGCAGTGCTGGCAGTTATGGCAGTGCTGGCAGTGCTGGCGGTGATGGCAGTGATGGCAGTGATGGCAGCAATGGCTGCACTGACAGCACTGGCAGCAGCAGAAGTGATGGAGCAGCTCTCTTCTCACGACCTGCTCAAGCTCTTTCTGGACGCACGTAGAGCCTGCTTGCGCTCCCAGGTTTGCCCCTCAACCATTCCTTCCTCTCACCCTGGCTTCAAGTCCGTGGGAAGTGGGAGAGGGAGAGTACGCAGCAGCAGCACTGGCAGTGATGGAACAGCTCTCTCCGCACGACCTGCTCATGCTCTTTTTGGACGCACGTAGAGCCTGCTCGTGCTCCCAGGTGAGTCTCCCCCAGGTGCACCTTCCTCCTTTCCTACCTCCTGTTTACCCTCGTGAATTGCCTGGCATTCAGCATGCCCTCCCGTCCTAATGTGCGTGCTTTCAAATCTCTTTTTTAGTCGAATCAAAGTTCACCTCCCGTCCTAATGTGCGTGCTTTCAAATCTCTTTTTTAGTCGAATCAAAGTTCACCTCCTGTCCGAATGTGCGTGCTTTCAAATCTCTTTTTTAGTCGAATCAAAGTTCACCTCCCGTCCTAATGTGCGTGCTTTCAAATCTCTTTTTTAGTCGAATCAAAGTTCACCTCCTGTCCGAATGTGCGTGCTTTCAAATCTCTTTTCTAGTCGAATCAAAGTTCACCTCCTGTCCGAATGTGCATGCTTTCAAATCTCTTTTTTAGTCGAATCAAAGTTCACCTCCTGTCCGAATGTGCGTGCTTTCAAATCTCTTTTTTAGTCGAATCAAAGTTCACCTCCTGTCCGAATGTGCGTGCTTTCAAATCTCTCACATGCTGTTTGAAATGTCAAAGACTCATCTTCTGCCTGGTTCACTTCCTCCCCTCTCTCCTCCCCCCCTCCAGCTTGTGTCTGCCACTTCAACTGTGGGCGCTGGGGGGGGCTTTGCGGACGGACTGGCATCATTGCTCAGTCAACTGGTGGCCATGATTCAGGTGTGCATGCCTGTGCAGTGCTTGAGGCACCTCAAAACACAACAAGGAGCTTTGCGGACGGACTGGCATCATTGCTCAGTCCAACTGGTGGCCATGATTCAGGTATAACCATGGAGTGCTTGAGGCACCTTAAAGCATAACTATGAGTTTTCTGTGGCCTGCCTGGCATCGCTGCTCAGTCAACGGGTTGCCATGACTCAGGTACGACTATGGGGGGTCACGCTCCTACCCCCCCCCCCCCCCCCCCCCCCACCCCCTTCGCCCTCTTTCCCCAACCACACCTCCCCCTTTCTCCCGCCCCTTCCCCTCGTTTCTTCTCCACACATCCCTCCACCAAACCACCCCCCCCCCCGCCTCTTTCTCTTCCGCTTCTCTCCTTACCTGTCCGCCTCTACTCATCCCCTCCCCTATCCCCTCACCCACACCTCCCCCCCCTTCCCTCACCTCCTCCGCACCCTCCCCCCCTCCCCCCCCTCTCCTCACTGCCTTCCATTTCCCCCCTTCCCCCCCCCCTCCCCCCCCCAACCCCCCACCGTCAGATCACCCTGTGCCAGACGGGGCAACTTTTCCTGGAAGTTTCCTCGTCCGATACAGCAATACTGTAGGGGTGACGGTTCCTTCCCCCCTCCGTATCCCCCCTATCTTTCGATATTTCCCCACTCTCCTCCACACTCACTCCCTCCCCCCCCACGTCAGCTAACCCTGTGTCAAACGGGGCAGCTCTTCCTTGAAGTTTCCTCGTCCGATCGAGCGATTTCCTTCGCGACGCTGCTGCAGGGCGCACCGCAGGCGCAGCTGTTTGGGGGCATCCCCCAGCCGGACAGGGAGGTGGCGCTGTGGCACCGCCACAGGGAGGGGATGGAAGCCAGACTGCCGTCGCTGAGCAGCAAGGAGGTGGCAGAGGCGTGCCAGGGATGGCTCAGGGCGTGCGCTGCTGACATTGCTGGTGAGCTTGTGACTGTTGGCTGTGTGTGTTTGTGGGAACGAGAGAGGTGGCGCTGTGGCACCGCCACAGGGAGGGGTTGGAAGCCAGACTGTCGTCGCTGAGCAGCAAGGAGGTGGCTGAGGCGTGCCAGGGATCGTTGAAGGCGTGCGCTGCTGACATTGCTGGTGAGACTTTGGGTGTAGACTGCATGTGTGTCAGGTGTACCCAGCCATCCAGACAGGGAGGTGGCGCAGTGGCACCGCCACAGGGAGTTGGAAGCCAGACTGCCTTCTCTGAGCAGCAAGGAGGTGGCTGAGGCGTGCCAGGGATCGTTGAAGGCGTGCGCTGCTGACATTGCTGTGAGTTTCCAGGTTTTTTTAGCGGGGCGCCATACGCCAGCCAGAGAAAAAGTCTGTTGCAGTCCCCCAGCCAGACAAAGAGTTTGCTGTAGTTCCCATGCAGCCATGCAGCCACACAGGGAGGTGGCGCTGTGGCACCGCCACAGGGAGGGGATGGGAAGCCAGACCGACTTCTCTGAGCAGCAAGGAGGTGGCAGAGGCGTGCCAGGGATGGCTGAAAATCATCCCTATTTTTCCTACTCCCCCCCCACTCCCCTCCCACCAGCCGAATAAAGGAACCTCCTCTGCAGGGTCACCCATTTGACTTTGATTGATTCGTCTTAGAAAATCATCGCTATTTCTCCTCCTCCCCCCCCACTCCCCTCCCCCCCCACTCCCCTCTCCCCCCCCCCCACCAGCCGAATCCAGGAACCTTCTCAGCAGGGTCACCCAGATCCGCCACCTGGCGCAAGCAGAGGCTGCCACGCGTGCAGCGATCGCCAGCAAGGACATCTTCGCCGCCAGCTGGACTGGCTGACGTCAGCCTTTGGCTCCACCCCTGACTCGCCCTGGCGTGCCCTCTGCGAGCTGCTCCTAAAAGAGCCAAAGGACCTATGGGGCGAGTTATTCGAGGCCGCGTTCGCACTTAGGGCGCGGGAGATTATAGATGCAGCGTTTGCGGAGCTGACTTTGAGGGAGGAGATAGATGGGGTGTTGAGGGAGGTTGGGGATGTGGTGGCGGTGGGCAGCGGTTGTTGCAGCCGAGAACGCCGTTTCTTCTGCTGGTGCTGCTGGTGGTGGTGCTACTGGTGCACTGCTGCTGCTGCTTCTGCTGCCGCTGCTGCTGCTGCTCGTGGTGTTGGTGCCAACCAGCGCACTTTCTGCTGCTGCTTTCGGCAGTGAGAAAGCAACCGGATTCACAGGCGGAGACAGGGGGTTGGGGGCGGGTTGGGCTAGGCTCCCCTCTCTCACTGACGTGTTAGGCCAAGCAGGGTTCGAGGAGACAGGCGGTTTTGCTGTAGGGGAGGCAGTCTGGGGCAGTTTGGGAGACGAGTTAGGCGTAGCAGGGCTAGGGAGAGGCGGGGGAGGAGGGGCAGGAGGAGGGGGAAGGAGGAGGGACGGAGGGGGAATGGGGAGGTGGTTTTGCGTGGCACGCAGGCGTATGAGCCCCAGGTAGTGGTGGTATGGCAGTTGTTGGATTCCAGAATCCAGGAGATTCTTTTGGACGCTCTCACTCTCCTCCTCCCCCACTCCTCACTCGCTCTTCCGCCCATTCCTCCTCCCCCTCCTCCACCTCCCCCTCCTTCTCTTCTGCTTACACTCCCAGCGCCACTGCTCCTGCTGCTTCAGCAGCCTCCCGAACCAAGGAGCTGGCTCCGTACCTGCAGGATCGGTGCCACGAGTGTATGATGCGGCTGGTGGGGCTGCTAGCAAGCAGGCTTGGAGACCTTCAGAAGCAGCAGCAGGCTGAAGAGGCAAGCAGAGGAACAGGAGAGAATGGAGAAGTCGAGAAAGACTGTAAATCTGAGGCAGCGGCAGCTGCGCCAGGGGGAGTAGCAACTTCAGATGAGGGATTAGGATCCAACGGTCCAGATGCAGTGAATGCTCTAGGGGGGCTACCCGCACAAGTGGCAGTGGAGCAGGCTCTCCTGATTGGACGGCTGGCGGCGGCAGTAGCGCAGAGCTCCTCCTCTCTAGCTGTAGCCCTGGGCCCATCTTCCACCTGGTCGGCTGTAGCAGCAGCTGCTGCCGCTACAGGTAGTGATGGCGCTACTGCTGCTGGTGCTGAATATTCTCCTGAGACAGCTGCTGCGGAATCAGCTTATGGGGTGGCACCAGGGGCTACAGGAGCTGCAGCTTCGGAAGCTAGTAGCAGGGCAGCTTATAACGGGGATGCTGGAAGGGATGTGGCAAGGGCTGGGGAGCCGAAGTTACAGTGGCCGGCGCAAGAGGTTGTAGCGAATATAATCGCTGCAACAGTGGCAGGGGGTGGCAGCAGTGGCAGTGGCAGTAGCGGTGGTGGTGGGGGGGTGGGCTGAGCTGGATGGGGGGAGGGGGAGGGGGGGACTGGGCAGGAGGGGAGGGAGGAGAGCAACGGATCTTGCTGCCGTTACGGCAAGATCGGCTGAATTCGCTCGGCTCCACCGAGATTCAGGTGAGCGGGGCAGTGAGCTGGATGCTTGGGATGGGTAGTGTGGTGGCGCTGGTGCTGAAGTATCGTGGCTTACTCACAGCACTGGGTGAATGAATGATGTGATTCATTCATTCATTACTCACATCACATCACATCACATCACATCACATCACATCACATCACATCACATCACATCACAGCACAGCACATCACATCACATCACTCACAGCACATCACATCACAGCACATCACATCACATCACATCACATCACACCACACACCCACACCACACCACACCACACCACATCACAGCAATGAATGAATGAATCACGGCACTGTGTTCGTGCCTGACTCTTGTGCTGTGCCTACTGGTTTCAGCCTAGAGTGTTTTTTTCCCCTTCCATACCGGTGTTATGCTTATCTACAGAGGGAGCTGCGTCGCCTGAGCATCTTGGCCCACTCGCACTGGGTGGACCACAGCACTCATCTGCTCGCCTCTGCGTTTTCGGCACAATCTGCTGCATGACCCGGCTCTTGCCACCACCACGCCCCTCAAGGTGAGGCTCTTTTCCCCTGACTCACCTCTTAACTCGCCTAACGTTAAGGCGTGCACTGGGTGAGCCACGTCCCTCAACTGCCTGCGTTTCTGGCACAATCTTCTGCACATCCCGGCACTTGCCACCTCAGGGCGAGAAATATCTCTTTCCTCAAGGTAAGGGCTCCGTCTCACCCACCTTGAAAGTGTACTGGGTCGACCACAGCAATCGTCTGCTCGCCTCTGCTTTCCATCGCAATTTGTTGCACGACCCGGCTCTTGCCACCTCCACTCCACTCAAGGTAATGGTTCTGTCTTTTCTGAGGATAAGGGCTTCCTTCCCTCCCAGTTTGAGAGGTGCAGTGGGTGCACTCTTCTTCTCTCCTCTGCTTTCCGTGGCAATCTCAAAAGCGGGGACCTGGAGGGGAGCGCGGAGATTGCGATGTGCATGACTGCTTTTGAGTCGACTTAAAAGCGGACAGCAGGGTCATGCACATCTCAATCTCCGACCTGGAGGGGGCGCGGAGATTGCGATGTGCATGACTCTGCTGGCCTCTCGGTTGATCCCCATCCCCTCACTCCTTTAGGGCTGGGAAGAAGCAGTGGTGCAGCAGCAGCAGGAGGAGGAGGAGGAGGAGGAGGGGGGGACTCCAAGGTGGATGGAAATGTGCGTTTCCAGTTCAATTGGAGTGAGGGAATGGGGAGATCAGCAGAGAGGCCAGCAGAGAGGCCAGTAGAGAGGCCAGTAGAGAGGGGAACCTGCTGGTTTCATCTGCTGATCCCATCCCCTACGGATAAAGGACGGGGAGGGGGGAGGAGGAGGGAGAGCAGCAGGAGGAGGAGGAGGAGGAGAGAGGAGGGAGAGCAGCAGGAGGAGGAGGAGGAGAGAGGAGGGAGAGCAGCAGGTGGATATGCTGCCTGCCGGCCTGCTGATAAAAGTGCATTTCCCTTTCCCTTTTCTCCCGGTCCTTTCTTGCCTCTCCTGTAGGGTTGGGAGGAGACGGTGGCACAGCAGGAGGAAGAGGAAGGGGAGGCAGAGTTCGAGATGCGCATGGCACTGCCCGCCTGCCCCTCGCCCCTTTCCCTCATGATTCTATGCTTCACCTACCCACCCCTCCTCTCCCTCCCCCCCACCACCGCCACCACCTCCCCCTAACCCCCGTTCTCCCTGTACCCGTGCAGGGCTGGGAGGAGACGGTAGTGCAGCAGGAGGAGGAGGAGGGGGAGGCGAAGGTCGAGATGCGCATGACGCTACCCGCCTGCCCCTCGCCCTACGTGGCGGCTTTGCTCTTTGCTGCCTCAGCTGACGTGCACCGCGCGGGCTGCCACTCCCTCGACCGCCTAGTACTGAGGCTCTTTGCCTGGCAGCTGTCAGACCAGGTAAGGAGAACCATGCGCCTCAGACCTTAGAAGTTCGAAATGCTCATGACTCTGCTGGCCTTCCCCTCGCCCTATGTGGTGGCGCTGCTGTTTGCGGCCTGGCTGACGTGCACCGGACTGACGTGCACCGGACTGGCGAGGGTCTAGTACTTCTCTTCTTTGCCTGGCAGTTGTCAGACCAGGTACGAGTGATCTGTGTGGCGGCACTGTTCCTTTCTGCCTCGGCTGATGTGCACGCTGGCTGCCACCCCCTGGACCGCCTTGTGCTGAGGCTGTTCGCCTAGGAGATACCAGACCAGGTGAGTGTACCAAGGGAGACAGGGGAGGACGGGTTTGACATTCTATGCTGTTCTGATGAGTCTAGTTTTGAGGCGCCTCAAAACTGGATTTTGAGGCGCCTCAAAACCAGGGGAGGACGGGTTTGACATGCTATGCTATTCAGATGAGTCTACCCTCTGCTACATGCCCTCCGCCCTCTGCCCTCGGCCTAGGGCATCGGGGAAGGGCGTTCGTCAGCTGCTCTTGACATGCACCTGCTGGCAGGCTGACTTTTGAGTCGACTCAAAAGTCACCTTCCTCAGGTGCTCTTGACATGCACCTGCTGGCAGGCTCGAGCCGCTCACTCTCTCCCCATGCCCATGCCCATGCCCATGCCCATGCCCATTCGCCTCCCTCCCTCCCGGCCTCCCCCCTATCAGGTCTTCCAAGCCTACGAGACCCTCACCACCACGCAGCGTGCATCAGAGAAGGGCATGCTGCTCCTGCTGGCAGACGCGCTCTCAGGAGGCGCTCTCAGGAGGCGCTCTCAGGAGGCGCTCTCTCTCTCCCTCATGCGAATTCTCCTCCCTCCCTCGCTCCCTTCCCCCTGTCAGGCCTTCCAAGCCTACGAGACCCTCACCACCACTCAGCGTGTATCTGAGAAGGGCGTGCTCCAGCTGCTGTTTGATGTGCGCCTGCTGGCAGACGTGCTCTCCGGTGGAGCAGACCTGCCGCTAGAAGCGCTCCGGCTCAGCAGCGCTTCACCACCAGCAGCAGCAGCGGGGGGAGCAAGAGGGGGGCAACAGCAGGAGGGGCAGGGGCGGGGAGTATTGCTGCGTCAGTGGCAGCGAGGAAGAAGCGAGTCGGGGCTCTGCTGGAGAAGCTGCAGGATGAGCTGGACCCCATCGACAGAGCAGCGTAAGAATGGCATGTTCACAGGTGGTAGCCCCTAGGTGTGTTCAGGTGGTAGCCCGTGGTAGCCCCTAGGTGTGCACAGGTGGTAGCCCCGTGGTAGCCCCTAGGTGTGTACAGGTGGTAGCCCCGTGGTAACCCTAGGTGTGTACAGGTGGTAGCCCCGTGGTAGCCCCTAGGAGTGTTCAGGTGGCATTGGTGCGTTGTTGGCAGCGAGGAAGAAGCGGATGGCGGGTCTGCTGGAGAAGCTGCAGGATGAGCTGGACCCCATCGGTAGGGCAGGCAGCGTAATGACTAAAACCCAACCCCTATATGTGTACCAATGAGCTCGACCCCATCTACAGAGCAGCGTGGGGCGGGGACTGCAGCTCACTTGCGCCTCCTGTCTCAGACATTTCGTTTCCCCTCAATCGCTCGGCCCTTTCTCCCTATCCTCCCTTCTTCTCTTGAACAAATGACCACTCCCTCCACCCACACTCCAATCTCCCTCTCTTATTCCGTTCCCCTTCCCAATGCCTCGCCCCCTCACTCCGTTCCCCCTTACGTTCCCCTATCCACCTCTCCTTCTTCTCCCCTCTCCTCACACTCAACCCCCCCCTCAGCTACCTGCCCTTCCTGTGGCAGAACCAGCAGCGCTTCTACCTGCGCTCGGCAGTGCTCGTCGGCCATCCGGCCCACCTGCACCGCCTCTATACGGACTCTGCTTTTCACTTGAAACTCTCCTTTCGTATTTTGAGTCGACTCAAAATACACGAAATACTGACTCTGTTTCTCACTTGAAACTCTCCTTTCGCTCTCTCTCGTCTACCTGCGCTCGGCAGCGCTCTTCTGCCATCCGTCCCACCTGCATGGCCTCTATACCGTCTCTGTTTCTCACATGAAACTCTCCTTTCGCTCCCTCTCCTTCCCCCCTTCAGCTATCTGCCCTTCCTGTGGCAGAACCAGCAGCGCTTCTACCTGCGCTCGGCAGTGCTCTTCGGTCATCTGGCCCAGCTTCACCGGCTCTACACTGACTCTGCGCCCCGCCACCCCTATGCTACGGACGCCAATACGCTTGACACGGCACCGACCGTTCCGCGCTTCACATTCCTCCCTATAAGGCAAGTCACGTCCTCCGTATAGGGTAACTCGCTAATCAGTGCTCTTCGGCCATCTGGCCCAGCTTCACCGGCTCTACACTGACTCTGCGCCCCGCCACCCCTATGCCATGGATGCCAATACTCTTGACACTGCACCGACTGTTCCGCGCTTCACCTTCCTCACTATAAGGTAACCTTCTAACCTCTCTGTAAGGTGTCTCGCTAACCTCTCTGTAAGGTGTCTCGCTAACCTCTCTGTAAGGTAGGTAACTCTCTAGTCAATGCTCTCCGGGCATCTGGCTCATCTGCACTGGCTGAATTTTCAGGGTATTTTTGAGAATTCTCAAAAATATATGGCTCATCTGCACTGGCTGAATTTTGATTCTCCACCCCGCCAACCATAACCATAACCAAACCCCCCTTCCTCTCCTCTCTCCCCCCCCGCCCCCCTCCAGCTCTCCTCTTCTGACCAATGGGGGGTTGGCACCTGGCGGTAAGCCCCGCCGTCCGTCCACCTTTGGAGACGTCTCACTATCCGTTTCTGGCTCTGGCAGCAACAGTAGTGCACCGGCTTCCCGAGTGCCTAGTGGAGGGGCAGGAGCAGGGGCGGTTGCAGCAGCAGCAGGTGTCAGTGGTAGTGGGTTTGGCATGGGGGGAGGAGCGTGGGGAGAGGATGGGGCTCTTGGAGGGGCGTTCTCGTTTGCAGATTCAACAGGGCTTTCAGCTACGCCCATCTTCAAGTCACTTATGGGTCAGGTAACCACTGCAAGCTGACAGCCGATATTGCGAGGGGAATGTCACCAGGCTTTTTGAATTCTAGCGTTGTTTAACTTCGTTTCTGCCATTCTTTCCGTTCTGTGTTGCCTAGGCTAATGCGTCACCATTGTTCCCCGCTGACTACAGGTCAAGCTGGGGTCAATTCTCGGCGATGGCAGTCAAGTGACTCGCAACATTTCCAATTTACAGGAAATGTTCAACCAGCCATCACAAGCAGGTGGACTCTTCTCTTCCTTGACCAGTGCAGCTGCTGGCAGTTCGTCTCGTCTCCAAGAGTTGTTTTAAAAGTAGAATTGCTACCTTTGATGAATGTGTGCTAGTTGACTTGTTAGTGCTTTGATCTTCATGTAGGCACGAATCAGTGTTCCTTTTTTACTCATTTATACATGCGAGTTCCAACTTGGCGAGGACGCGTGTCTTTCGAATGATTCTCCACAGGATTCTCCAATACCAGCCACAGAAACCAAGGAGAACCGACTCGAAAGGCGATACTTTTCGATTCTGACAAGGATAAAGACGGGGCCGCGCGCCACATCAGCTCTATCCTTGAAATTACTGACGTGGGGACTTGCTGGCAGAGATGGCGGAACCGAAACCCCAACTTTTCTGGTCCATCGTTTCAGGTCTGCCCGAATCCTACATGGCAATGTGTTGTGAACAAACACCCGCAACCGGTCACCCGGAAACAAGATGCTGGTGTACGTGGCAGAGGTCGAACCTGTCGCAGCCACCCATCCGCCCACGGATATGGTTGCACGAGGGTTACCGTTAGCCACGCGGCAATGCACGGCCAGGCAACCTCGTTGGAGGAACGGTCTCGCTTTTCCCTGTTCTGCTTGGCTGCTGACGGAGCTCCGCCACGAGTGACTAGGTAATGTGTGTTCCCTTGTCGCAGCCAACGCCAACCACCAGCCAGATTCCGTCTCTCTCCGTCAGCTCAGTCAGGCTTCCCCGTCAGCCTAGGCAAAATGTCGAAGCTGGTGCTTCCTCCACCTTGGGATCTCCGTGAGCGACAAAAAGGGAAGCCTCGTCTTGAGTTTGGTACTCTCCACGACTCCCAAGACAGACTAACGAGATCAGAAAGTAGCTGATCTCTTGTGCTGTCACTCAGACCGGTTTATTCCCCTTCTCTTATCTCACACACACTCCGCAACCATGGAGGCTGTGAGGTGCAATATCGCTCAGGCTGCTTCAGTGGCTCCCGCCCTCCGTGGCGCGGAGACCAAGGCTTCCTTGGCCTCAATGAAGGCTCCTCTTGGCCTGTACTCCGGCCTGAGGAAGACCACCTCGGCTAAGGCTTCCAAGAAGAGCCGTGCTGCGGTGAAGGCTCAGATTGCCAAGGTCACTGCTACTGCTGCTGTCGAGGTCGCTGCTAAGACTGATGCCGCTCTCCTTGAGAAGGTACATTACAGACCGCTGCTGGCAAGCATTCTCTTCTCTTCTCGACGTATTATTTCACTATCGCATGTGAATTCGTCGTTAATTTTTTTTGCCCGTGTCTCTTATGAATCATCGCTTGTTTTGCCTGCAGGCCATCAACTCTATCAGGTTCCTCGCCATCGATGCCGTCGAGAAGGCGAATTCCGGTCACCCCGGTCTTCCCATGGGCTGCGCTCCCATGGCGTTCGTGCTCTTCGATGAGTTCATGAAGTTCAACCCCAAGGACCCCTACTTCGTCAACCGCGACCGCTTCGTGCTCTCCGCTGGCCACGGTTGCATGCTCCAATATGCTCTGCTCCACCTTTTCGGATACGACAGCGTTCCGGTATGGTTTCGAAATCAATCTCCGCTCTTCAGCTATTTTCCCTATTTCTTGATGATTCAGCATCTAACGACGGCTATTCGGTTTAATTATCAGATTGAGGAGATCAAGAACTTCCGTCAGTGGGGTAGCAAGGCCCCTGGCCACCCCGAGCACTTCATCACTCCCGGTGTTGAGGTCACCACGGGTCCCCTTGGTCAAGGTATTGCCAACGCTGTCGGTCTGGCTCTTGCGGAGAAGCACCTTGCTGCTCGCTTCAACAAGCCCGGCTTCGACCTGATCGACCACTACACGTAAGTAGTATGAAGAATTACGCTTACTCTGCTTTGCCTTTTAGGCTCGGGTCCCTTCTTTTTTTAAACTTACATAATCTTCTCTTTGACTGAGCAGATATGTTATTCTCGGAGACGGGTGCAACATGGAGGGTATCTCCACCGAGGCTGCTTCCCTCGCCGGTCACTGGGGTCTCGGCAAGCTCATCGCTCTGTACGACGACAACCACATCTCCATCGATGGCAACACCGAGATTGCCTTCACCGAGGACGTGAGCGCTCGCTTCGACGCTCTCGGCTGGCACACAATCTGGGTCAAGGACGGCAACACCGACCTTGACGCCCTCCGCGCCGCCATTGAGGAGGCCAAGTCCGTCACGGACAAGCCCACCATGATCAAGGTAACTTTCCTAACCGATCGACATTGACGGCGAAGATAACTACAAACAAAACCTCATTTCAATCAGTTGATCGAACAAGAATGTAGGAGCTGAGGGTCATTTCTGTTTCGCGAGGGTGTACTTGGTACTAACCCGTCTCTTGTCCATTCCATTTTCCAGATCACCACGACCATTGGCTTCGGTTCCCCGAACAAGGCCAACTCGTACGCCGTCCACGGTGCTGCTCTCGGTGCCAGCGAAGTCACCGCTACCAGGGAGAACCTCAACTGGCCGTATGCTCCATTCGAAATCCCTGCGGAGGTCTACGAGTACGTTTCATGCTCCTAGATAAACATCGCTTTCATTTCATTGTCGTGCCGTTCCTTCGCTGACTTTTTTTCTCTCAACCTACACCTAACGCTTGTCGTTGCTAATCCCTGTTACCGTTCTTAAACAGGCACACGCACAAGAAGATCACGGAGGGTGCTAAGTTGGAGGCTGACTGGAACGCTCTCCTCGCCAAGTACGAGAAGGAGTACCCCAAGGAGGCCGCCGAGTTCAAGCAGCTCATCAGCCTCGAGCTCCCAGAGGGCTGGGAGAAGGCGCTTCCGGTATGTGCACATCCTTTTGATTTGACTGTTGTTGCTCATGGTTCAGCATTTGGACGCGCATCCCGTTTTGTCGCGGTGCGAAGTTTTGTTTCTCACCCTGCTCCCGTTTCTGTTGGTTGTTATATTTTCGAAACATCGTCGTTAATCTTGGATGCAGACCTACACCCCTGACATGCCTGGCGATGCTACCCGCAACCTGTCCCAAGTGATGCTGAATGCCCTCGCTGACGTTCTTCCCGGCCTTGTTGGTGGTTCCGCCGATCTGGCCTCCTCCAACATGACCCTCCTGAAGAAGCACGGCAACTTCCAGAAGGACACCCCTGCTGAGAGGAACATCCGTTTCGGTGTGCGCGAGCACGCCATGGGAGCCATTGCCAACGGTATCCAGCTGCACTTGACCGGTCTCATCCCCTATGTGGCCACCTTCTTCATCTTCTCCGACTACATGCGCAACGCCATTCGTATCTCTGCGCTCGGCGAGACCGGTGTCATCCAGGTCATGACCCACGACTCCATCGGCCTTGGAGAGGACGGCCCCACTCACCAGGTGAGCTTTTCGAGTTACGCATGTATTCACGTCTCGTCTGGGCAGCATGGGTGTTATGTTATGGACCAACAATGTGAATCTTTTCACATGAAGGCGTTGGACTGGCTTGTACTGCATAGGCATAGTCGTTCCCCGTCTGATCATGTATCTTACCTATTCCGCTCCGCTCCTGTACCTCCCCCTCCTCTCCCCTCCCCCCCCCTCCCCCCCCCTCCCCCCCCCCCTTTTCCCTCTCTCCTTTCCCCACAGCCTATTGAGCACCTGGCGTCTTTCCGCGCCATGCCCAACCTGCTGATGATGAGGCCTGCTGACGGCAATGAGACTGCGGGGTCATACAAGGTGGCTGTGCAGAACAGGAAGAGGCCCACCGTGCTCGCTCTCTCCCGCCAAAAGCTGCCCAACCTTCCCGGCACCTCCATTGAGGGCACCGAGAAGGGTGGATACACCATCAGGTAAACTTCCTTGGCTATCAGACGACTCCTTCATCAGGAAAACTCTCCTGGCTAAATAATCGGCAATGGTGTGATTGACTCTGCCTCTATTCTCCCCATGCTAGTCTCAACCTGTCTCTGCTTTCTCACCCTGTCCTATCTCCAGCGACAACTCCTCTGGCAAGCCTGACGTGATCCTCATGGCCACTGGCTCTGAGCTCGAGATGGCTGAGAAGGCGGCCAAGATCCTCAGGGACGAGGGCAAGGGCGTGCGCGTTGTCTCCATGGTCTGCTGGGAGCTGTTCGAGGAGCAGCCAGAGGAGTACAAGAAGTCTGTCTTCCCCGATGATGTGCGTGCCCGTGTCTCGGTTGAGGCTGGCTCCACCCTCGGCTGGCACAAGTATGTGGGTGACAAGGGCAAGGCCATTGGTGTTGACGACTTTGGTGCCTCCGCCCCTGCCAACATCCTGTACGAGAAGTATGGCATCACTGTAGATGCCGTGGTTGCTGCTGCCAAGGCCGCCATGGAGGCGTAGGCTGGGCTAGTTTTGTCGGAGTAGGATCCGAGCAATGTGGCTCTTTTTGTTTTGCTTGAACTTGTGACTCATTATTTCCAGATAGCTGCAAATACTTCTCACACCACACCAGAGTTGGCTATATCTAGTTTCCGAAACCATGCTTTCACTAGGGCGCTACACGCACATTGAAGCGATATTTGAAAACGGGGTTATCTCATCTTCTGTCGCGTACGAGACATGCATACTGTTTGAATGCTAACTAAACTGGAGAGAAGGGGCTGCCATGAAATGGCGGCCAGATGTTTAGTTAGGGGAGGGAAAGATGTGTCGAGAGAGAAAAAGATGTACGACTAGAAGAGAATGTGGTACAAGAAGGGGAGTTATCCCCTCTACAGTAGGATGCAGCTTGTAGGACAACTACCAAGCCTACAGTTATATAAAATATAACTTAACACACCCCCTAGGCTTGGTAGGCACAAGCCCCCCCAAAACACACACCCCCTAACCCCGTGCACCCCAATGCCCGAGATTAGCCGGGACAGCAGCTGCGGCAGGAGGAAGAGGAGACGCAAGGAGAAGGGGTGGGGCGGGGAGAAGGGGCCGAAGGTTCAAATCTTCAGCGCGGCGCCGAAACTGGCGCGGCGCTTACTGGCGGGGAGGAGGGGCCGAATCGGCAAATCTTCAGCGCGGCGCCTGGAATGGTGCAGCGCTTACTGGCGGGTAGGCAGACTGCAAGTCAAGCGACTGCAGCACGACGACAGCTGCTGCAGCCCAGCGCCATTGCCACGGCACCGAGACGACGCCTCCACTATCAAAGTGAGAAAACTGAATGAGTTGAGTAGAGAGAGTACAGGTGAATATACCTAAGTGTTGTACCCTC